ACTAATGGAATTTGTGTATGTATTTGTAGATGTCAAAAATTACTCTGGGGCATCTGAAAAGTCTGAAGCACAGCCTCAGTCCTTAGCTTGAAAATGATCAATTAAAAGTTAAGTCCACTCATCCATAACAGGCACTTTTGCTTCTTGTTTTACTTTGGAGCTGAATAAAAAATGCCAGAATTTCATCACTGAACATAGCATGGAGAGACATGAAACTGGTGGAAAACCTTTGGCTGGAGACTAACTTTGGCCCTCAGAAAAAGCAAGCAATACAGAAAAGCAAGCAATGTATTTTATGCTCTCCAGGCCAACCTTGCTGAGCTAGCTTGTCCTAGTGAAGCCTATGCACAAATATAAACCTCAAACGCACAAAATTTGCACAATTTGTAAATTCACAAATACACATTGGGACCATCTCACCAAACCTTGCTCCTATACCAGAGGCAGGTATAGGCAGAAAGGCAGCGTTTTAGATAGTCAGTTGGACTCTTCATTAGATGAAGGGCTCATAGGGAAGACAACAGCTTTCACAAGAACACTGACCCTTTTCTAGTGTAAAAGATGGTACACTATAGAAGACTCAGGAGACATGACTTCTAGGTATTGGCCAGTAATTCTGTGTTAGAAGTTTGGTCTCTGATTACTTCTGCATCTAGATGATACTCTAGAATAGCTTTGAATCATATCTTTGGGGATTAACTGGCTGCACAGGCCCTGTAAGTGATCCAGTGGGAGCAGGATGGAGGAACAGATGTACTAAGATGAAAGACCTTGGAGATGCTTTGAGAGTGACAGGAAAGCTCTGGAAATAGTTACATTAATAAAGAATCAGATTATTTAACAAGAATGGAGCCTCCTGAAGTGCTACCCTGAGCATAATACATGAAACAACTCAGATGATCAAAGTGCCCTTCTTCTTTGTGGAGCTCCACCTTTGTTGCTTCCAAAGGGGGCTGCACCAAAGAGGCTGCTGGGACTACTAAGGCAAACACAAGTCACATGGGGCAGCAGTTTTTCCATTTATCTTCACTGCTATCATCTATGAGCCTCTTATTTCAGAAGAAAATGTTTTAAAACCCCACAGGCTCTGCCAGGCTACATCAGAAGGAACTGAACGCAACAAGAGATGAGAAAATAACATTTATATGGTAAAAAGTCCTAAAACGGACACTATTCTTGAAATGCTGTGGATCTCCTTTGTTTTCTTGGCTCTCATTTCATTGCTATGCCTTTCAGAATAGCGGAGGTCACCAGTATCACAACCCCATGAATCACAGTAACTACCCTTTATACACTCCTTGTCTGCCTACGGAGCTCAACATTTTATTTCTGCTGTCTTACTGTGATAGGGAGGAAAACCTAAGACACTTGGGCAGTCGTGGTTTCCACTTGAGCTTATAAATGGTGAGATTATTTACAGTGTTCTAGTGTCCGTGAGGATACTAGATTTTTTAATATTACTACAACTGTGGCCTTGCTTTAAAGACTGTAATGCTAGTAGACTCCAGCTTTTGTGCCCTCCTCACTTTCTCATGGTCTCACTAACAATGCTGAGTGGGAAGTAGCTTAGTAGTTACTCCTGAAGGTGTGATTCTTACCAGGAGATGGGGTTTGGCCAGTACAGATAAACCGAGTGCCCTTGTCATACCACCTCATGCCCACAATGATAGCAACAAGTGAAATGGAGCTGTTCGAGCAAGTCCAGAGAAGGGCCATGAAAATGATAAAGGGGCTGGAGGACTGGAGCACCTCCCTTATGAAGATGAGCTGAGAAACTTGGAACTGACAGAAGCAAGGGTGAAACTGTTACATGAAATGTGAAGAGGCTACAGAGGAGCCTGGAGAAAGAACAGATATCTCCACTACAACAGGAAAGTCATAAAAATACAGTAAGATCTCTTAAACCTTTTCTGGTTTAAGAGGTTCCAGTTACTGAGCTATTACTGCCTTGTGGCCAAACTTAGTGCCATTTACAAACATATGTATATTGGTGAACATGAAGTTGTTAAATTATTCAGTTTCTTATTAGCAGAGCTATCTCTCCAGTCATGAGCTCTATCTCCCTTACCCCCATCAGTATTATTAAAATTACTAATCTTGTTGAATACAAAAAATGAAAAATACAAATCTCATGTGCAAGACTACATTAAGAGAGTAGGCAGCAAGAGTTTTATTTATATTTTCAGGTTTTTTAATGGAGAACATAATGCGCCGTTTACAGATCACCCTTCTTCTGTGGGTCAGTCTCATTTAAGGTGATAGAAGATACGCCTTCCTATAAGATCTGTTCCAGTAATAATGTAATTAAAGCATGTGCTATGTTAAAACATAAAAAAATTATCTCACAAAATATAGTTTAGTATATGTAAATGACTGTTCATACATGCATCCTATTTATTTTTGTACTGAGTGTTTCTGAATCTTTTTCATTGCTCTTCGCTTCTTGAGTGGCCACCTAGGCTCAGGTCTTTTTCTTCCATCACTTTAGATCCAGATAAAAACAAGAGAAAGAGAAAGAGAGAGAAGAAAATTACATAACCAGAAAGCAGGAAAAAAAAACAAGGTAAAAAAGCAGATGAAGATATATCAAAAAAGTGGCTTGACTTACCATTTTACATGAGCAAGATGATCTTCAAAGGGTTTAACTCTGTGCAGCAAACTTTATGTGAATAAGGATCCAGTACGACCTCTCCTGATGTAAATGCTTTAGATTGTCTCACATCTTTGCGTCTGGACCACAGGCAGAATGTGCATGTCTTGGTGTTAGGGATGAATTTCCTCTCTTGCTCCTCCTGTCTTTTCTCTTTGTTATTAAACAGAACATTCTTTTTTTCTTTCAAAACTATATGTATTTGTTCATATCCTCATAAATATGTACACAGAAAGTATTTTCCCATGGCATTGCATATTTAAAATATAGTGGGAAACTTTAGGCAGGGAAAAAAGAGGCAGGAGCTATTGGGGTGGAAACACATTTATTATTTTGCAGAATAAATACCACCAACTTTATCTCTGTATATGGCCATTACATAAGGGTCCCTGTAACTGTTTGAAATTCCTTCTACACACTTCAGATTTTCTGTATATAATGGAGGTAGGAGCCACACACACATAAGCCTGTCAGGCTCAGAAAACGCACAGGTGGAAAGTGGATACATGAAGAAAACTTCAGGAATTCAGAAGCAGTTGTCTTAAAATGGACTTAATAAAACAGAGCGTGCAGTAGCAATAGAAGAAAACGATAAAGCTATAAAGCTTTCATTAGGTCTGTTAATTGGCATTAAAATTAGTATGGGAATCTATTTTGTGGAATAATTAAATTTTTAACATAAATCCTTTAAGTCTTCCTATATTCATATGGAGACTATATGTAATATATTCTGTAATATATATGTAATATATATAATGTGTGCTTAGCTGACTAGCTGCAGCCAGATTTACTAACACAGCTATAGTTGGTCAGATCAGTGCAAGGACATGCTTGGGCCATTTCCTTGACTGTACTGAGCACTTAAGGGTGCTCTTCATATTCCCACTGGAGACCTGAAAGCTGACCACATACGTGAACCTCTGCACTGTCCTGGGACTCCACAGTCTCCAAAAGTAATCACGTCATTTCTATACTATCCATTGCCACTGCAGTGGAGGTCAGGGTTTTCATTAGGTGATGCTCAGTGTGCCAGTACCTGTCTTGTTGGCTACGTGGCTCTACCGAAGCCTCTGAGAGCTTTGTCATTGAATTCACTGGGGTCAAGATACTCAAAATAAAATAACAGAGATCCAAATAAAGATCCAGCCCAAAGGCACTAGATACAGTTTTAAAATGAAATCTTAGAGCATAAGAGTCCTCACCACAGCCTCAACTTTTACTTTAAAGCACTTTAGATAATTTACTTCGGCTGTCAGGATGTATCATTCTTAACCCTGAGGTAAGGATCTTACTTCAATTTAGGTGCCTGATATCATCTGCCAGCTTTTTATCTTCAAAAATCAAGTGTATTTTCATTGCATCTCTTGCACAGGCTATGGACATATGAAGCCACGCGGGAAGGAGAAAAAAATGTGTGATTTTTAAATTATTCTTCTGCTCTTCTTTTTTTTTTTTTTTTAGTCTCCAGATGGTCCCTGGAACTGGTGATGTTTTCTTTAGCCCATATAGTTCCTACTTTAATTAGCTTACTTAACCAGCAACCTTCAACCAGCTTACTTAACCAGCACATTTGAAACGCACATGATCAGGTTATACCAGGTGCTAATGTTTAATCACTTTCACAAAATTTAAAGCGGATAAATGGCTGAAGCATAACTGAAAGATCTTATTAGAAGTCAAGCTGATTGGTGGTGTGACGTAACTTGAGAGCTTACCAGCCTTGCACTGATTTCACATCATCCGGGGCTGCAGTAATGGCAGTGAACACACCACCACTGCTCTGTTAGAGACAAAGACCAGAGCTGGGTGGCCAAGATATACAATACATATTTATCAGCTGCGCGGCTGGTACAACTTCTGTCACTACCTGAGAGCAGTGAGGCATGATATTGCTTTGATTTAATACCACCCAAGGAAACAAAAAAATGCATCAAACGGATCTTTTGGCAGGGTATTTTTTGAAAAAGTGGTATCTCTCCCCATTCCTGCTTCTTCCCAGCATGTGTGCTTGTGAGAAAGGACTGGGGGCTGCCGAGGGTATCTGCCCCTTCAGGGCTTTGTTGGGAAATATCAGGTAGTTAGTGCTGAGAGCAGTGGGGATCTCACACGTCTGAATGGATGGGCTAGTAGGAGCATGTCTGAGGCTTCTCCTTCTTGTACCCGATTCAAAGATTTTTATTGCTTGGTGAAAGATCTGAGCAAGGCTGAGTGAAATTCTCAGAATCTGCACCCTCCATGTGCGCTTTAGCAGATGGCTATCATTAACAGATGAATAGGAATGCTTGGTTTTGTTGTGGCTGTAGTCATTTCACCCGGGTCTTAAGATGGAGAGGAGTCATGCGGTACTTACAGGATCCCTTTTTACAAGGCCTGGGTTAGGCACAACAGCAATGAGGTGAGCAATTGTAAACACGGAGTTCAGCACATAAGAAGAAAACAAATTCTTATGCAGTGTTATCCTTTGACAGCTGAGGCTCCTGAAAAATATGTAGCACACGTTGTAAATTAGTATTTTTCTTCTGATATCACTTTAACAATCTCTTTCTGGCAACAGTCTCTCAAGAATGCCTTTTGGCAAGACATAATTGGAAAATACATTCCTTGCATCGCAGCCATAACCTCTGTCAATTTTTCTGTTTTGTTTTTACACCTGTTTAGCACCACATGCTTTTTAGACCACGTTGTAGACAGCCATCCAGCTACATTCTCAGCCCTTGATGCCTTTCTTTATTTCATGGTAATCTAGATATTATGTGGTGAAGCAGAACCCTGAGAATTATTAGATGTGCATGATACAAGTAATGAACATCAGGAATACTGCTTTATAAGTAACTGTTCCCTGGAGACTCAATTTCTCAAATAGATGAAAATTATTTGCTACTTTCAGAATTAGTGGCATGACAGGATGGGAACTTTGGCCAGGAATCTCCCTAAATTACAGGGGGATTTGTATTAGTATCCTGAATGTTTTTAACTCCAGCTAAGCTCCCAAATCAGAAGAGATTGTTTTGCTGCTCAGAAGGAGCAGCAATCTTTCCTGAATACCGACTTTGGGGATGGTAGGATTTCTGCTATTTGTAGGTAGCAGAATTCCACAAGAGAAGTTCACAGGATCCTTCTGAAACCAAGTCATGACTGCAATTTCAGACCTGAACCATCTCCCCTTTCTAATTCATGCCCAAATCCTCATGCCACCTCATTGGCTACCCCTGATCCAGAGAAAACTGCCTCCACAGTACTCCATGCCCCAGAGCACAGCCTGGGGCTGGCAGGAGGTGATTACAGAAAGGCAATCATTGAGTTGTTAGATAATGCTGTGATGTCTGTATTCAGTGATCACTGAAAGCAAGCAGGCAGAAACAGTAGCTAAAAAAAATACGAGCAAGTGTTGCTGTCTTGCTGAAATAAGCTTCCATCTCAGCACTAGGAGTCTTTTGCAGTCTGGAACGGAGCACAAACAGCAACTTTTTGATGCTCTGCAAGTGGAGGTCAATGCAGAATGCACTTTCTTTCAAAACAGAGAGCTAATCTAACCAACTGAACTCTTTATAATTATTTTGCTTGTTTATTTATTTGCTTTCCATTTCCTTAGCTCCTTGGTCAGCTGCCACTTATTCTTTCTTTTCCTTACACCTATTTTCTCAGTCATTGGATGGAATTCTTCCTTTAGCTTGAGGTCACCTTTCTGGTTATGATCATCATCATCCTGTAATGCTCATCACTTTTATTCACCTCCTTACTTACCAATGCACCTTATTTGGTTCAGGACGTCCATGAGATGCTAGTGGGTTAGGAATGAGATCATCCCTATACTGATTTTGTATTGCTCCTTTAGCATCAGTTACAGGCAGCTGTTGAGGGCCAGATACGGAAAAGAGACTGGTGTGATATCAAGCCTGTTCCAAACAAATTAAAATTTCCCTTTAACTTAGAGCAGTCTCTTCAGCTCCTGGCCACAGAAATGCAGACCCTTGTCTCTCCAGCTTCCTCTCTACAGGGCTACTGGTACAGAGAGGCTGTATTTTGTGATAATCTCTGCCAGGTACATGTGCTTCCACTCTCATTCCCGTCCTTCCTCACTGCTCCACTTGACTTTTGACAGTTTTACTCCTCTATTAAATTTGATTGTCCTTCACTGCATGTTGCCTTAGTCTGCTGCCCAAGCTCCTTTTCCTGCCTGCCTTCCTCCCTTACTTTTACTCCTGCATTGCTCTCCTCCTTTCTTCTCAGCATTCCCCACCTTTCTTTCTTGACTCCAGCTTTCATGCTAAAGACCCATCTGGATCATTAAGCATATATTTCCATACCCTCACTTTTTAATTTGACCTTCAGTGTTTGCCATCACAGTGGCATCAGGACCTGCCTGATTCAGTCTGCACTGAGAGAACATTTTATCAAAACCAAGCCCCTTATTTGATTCACCCTCTCTTCTGGTTTTGAAAATCTGTAATCTTCTCCTTCTCTGACCTATCATAGCCCTCTTCCTGTCCCTCTTCCTGATATCCTAATAATTCCTTCATGGTATTTTTACAGGCTCCTTTTCACCTTCCCCCCATCTTTCTGTATGCTTCCTACTCTGTGTCATTAATCATAATGCAAGAAGGCATCATTAAGCCATTTATCCGTGCCTAGATCTTCTGAGTTTTTTGTGTCACTGGGCTTCTATCAATTGTATCTCAGAGTTTCAGAGCCTCCTGTGTTTCTCGTGGTTCCCTTCTGTTTCACATTTATTCTATGTCTCCTACATTTCCTTTGACAGAGACGGGTTCTCCTATCTACTCACAGAGTCACCCTTACTTTTGAGTTCCTATCTCCAGTTCCCTATTCCATCTGGGAAGTTTTGACTTCCAAGGAGATTTTAGCACTATTTTCTTCATAGATCTGCGCTGTGACTCTGTCATTTGTTCCCACTCATGAATACCAATTACTGCGAATACCCATTTTTACTCCCTGACAGTTATTTTCCATCTCCTGCACACTTGTTTAGTTTTCAAACTATTTTCATGTTTTCTACCTTTCTCTCCCTTACCCCTGGGGAAAAACTCCCAATGAACTTCTACAAATTATCTTTCCACACATTATCCTTCTTCAGCTTTAAAAGCCTTGGCAACAATTAGATTGCAGGTGCTTTCAGAACACAATCATATATTATTCTTGCAAATCTAGACTTATTGTACTCCCCACCTGTCTTTAAACAAATGTCTTTGGTTTAATAATTCAATTAGAAGTGATTTTGAGCTAGGAGTCCCTTTTTCCTTTTGTGTTTTATCATATAAGATAGTGGGGTCTCTGTCTGCAATTATAAAAATACTGCAAAAATCTGATGGTGCATGTAACACTTTATTTAATGAATACTCTGTCTCCTGTTATGAGTTAGTATTGCTTAGTGATGCTCATCACTACTGATTCAGAATTCCCTTCCGAAAGTACTGCAACATCTGTGATGCCAGATCATTACTAATCTTGATACCCAAAACTGAAAGGAAAATAAATCTCTTCCAGGAAAGACGTACATGTGGGAAACAGCAACCTCTGCAAGCTGTTTATTGCTGCCTCTACAGTCAGAGGCTATTATAGAGTCCCCAGACCATCTCTTGCTATCTGATTGCCTGTCTGATGGACAACTTGCCTTCTACTGAAAGTCAAATAATCTATTACTGTCATAGCCAGTTGACAGAAACCCAGTGAAGGCAACATGAACCCTGCTCCCCTACAACTTTAGTCTCACTTTCTTATGATCATAGTTTGGTTTCATTTTTGTCCTCCCATTTTGCAGCACTTTGCTTTAATTGTTTTCTCTACTTCTTCCTATAACCTTTGTGTCATGGATTAGTCATGGAAGGGGAAGAAGTGGAGGAGGAAAGACAGGAGGAAGAGGTGTGTTACTGTCTGGAAAGCTGCTGCAGAGATGAGTCTTTCAGTGTGGCCTGGGACTGGTCAGGGTTGTGTGCTGTCTGTGACTCAGATCTAACAGTGAGTCAGACAGCCTGAACCTCCTTGCTCATGGCAAAGAATCACCTTCCTGGTCCATTCTGGGTAGCTAATTTAACTAGATCCTGTCTTTACTGTCCCAAAGAACTCTGAAGCCTAGGTATAGGGCTTGAAATCAAATTAAACTGTGCTCTTCTCAGCCTTCTTAAAGCATTACTTTGGCTATGGTTTTGTGCTTTTTATAATTAGATGGGAAAGGAATTCATCAGTTCATTGGGTAGAGTTTCTAGATATCTCTGTATCTGATTATTGCATGTTATCACAGTCACTCATCAAACTGCCTCTGGAAATTAGCAGAATTCACAACCTGTATTTTGGATCCACCTGTTTTGAATCTGTAATCCTACAGACTCTTTTAGTCTATGCAAAATCCAACTGTTTCATTTTCCTATGTTTCCTAGACTTGCTCTTAATGGTGGTGATGCTGAGGGCTTGTTCTTTTACTACCCTTCCTGTCTGGCAGTTGAGGCACAGACATCAAATTGTATAGCTTTAAGATTTACGCCAGCTTCTTCTGGCCTCTCAATTTACTAAGCATACCCTTTTCCAGCCTATATGGACACCCTCGTCCATGGTGTACCTTTCCAGGGATCAACAGCAGATGAAGTAACTAGGAAGAAGCTTCACATAATGTTACTGAGAAAATTACTATTAGAAGGCATACCACCTGGACATATCCATGGATATGTAGTACATATAGATCAAAACTGGGTCCAGAAACAGGCTAAGATGCCTCATGTAAGATTTAGATTAAATAATACAGAGACTCTGAGGCTTAAACTGATTTAAGCACTGGCATCAAGTATCTGGAATTTTGTGGAGCACCTTTCACTAAAGATTTTTAGAGCAAGGCAACCATCCCTTGTGCACTAGAGATGGGGCTTCAGGAAGGGATTCTTTTAATCCCCAAATCTATGCAATTACTATGCATGTGTAAGTTGGAATTTCATGTTTGCTATGTGCTGATTGATTCTATAGATCTTCAAATGTGTATTTGTGGTTGAAAAAATGACATTTCAGAAACTCAGATAATGAAGTTGATGATATCTCACAACCCAGTTTGTCACACAGGCGTATTTGTGTTCTGGCATAATTTTAGCTTGAAATAATTTCTTGCTGGCTAAATTACAATCTTGAAACAGTATATTGTTACAATGACACCAGGAAGGACTTATGTTACTATAGGCTGCCGTTATTGTGCAACTATTCTTTCTTACACTCTGTAAAGAAGATCATGAAAAAAAAAAAAAAGATTGTGGGTGGTTTGTTTGGTTTTTTTGTTTTTTTTTTCTTTTCCTTGAATTCTTGATGGGTCAAAGAACACTGCATTCTCTGAAGAGTTTAGGGGGTTTGTGCATACTTAACTATGTCTTTTTGGCAATAAAAGTCTGTCTGGATACAACTGTGTGTATTATTTATTCAGAAGCAGTTCTAATTGTTCCTTACATTACTCTTGTTTCCCAGTGTGCAGTGTGAGGAATACTCCTTTATATTCTTGGAAACCTTTATCCAGGTAAAGTTAGCTGGCCTTTTAGATTACCTTGCCGTTATCTCCAGATATACTCTACTGATGGTGCGCATTTTCCTATCTCTGATCATGAACTGATGACTTGGCTATATGATTGTAAGTAACTGATGCACATTTACTGAAACCTGTAAGACAACATCCCATTTGGGTCATTATACTGGACGCATCATTCTGTTTCCTCAAACTATCTGTGCATGGACATTACAACCCTGATTTCTGAGTGTGCTATCAGTCTAGTAAATTTGCAGTTTATAGTAATGTTAAAAAAATTAAATATCTTAAAAAGATTGCATAAGAGCTAGAAAAACATAACTTATGCAAGTGTTCATAGCTCTGGATGTACAACAGCTCAGGATCTTGTCTATTGTTTATTCTTTAATATTTTCCCCAGTGCCTTTGATGTCTTCTAGCATTTAACCATTTCCCTGAGCTGAAAACCGAAGGCTGTTCCCAAACAGACCTTCAATACTGATTGTGACTGAAGTTGTGACTACTTTTGATGGCAAATCTGAGCTCCCTCTGCTACTTCACTGCAGACACATTATAATACATAGCATAAAGACAGGTTCACCAAAGGACAAGATTTAAATGCTCTAGTTAAGTTGCCATATGGTAGCTGCAGTGCTTTCAGTGAGTATCAGTTTAGTCTTCTTTAAAGTAGAGCACATTACTATTTTTCCTTTTAATGATGATGACATACTACATATTAATGTCAGATTCACTCTTAGTGCTGGGTCTGGTAAGCACCTACTCAAGTCAATAGCGCAGTCTTCAGCATTAGATAAAGGTATTCCTGCTCTTCAGGAGCTGGGAGCTCCAAGCCATTGTTCTGTGCAGTCACTGCACCTGCCAGGAGCTGGATGTGCCCTTCGAGGAACACCAGGCAACTGGAAAATTAAGGGCCTTACCACACCCCTAGTTACACCATCTCCCTATGGGCCACACTTTTACACCAGTCTTGACAAATATAACAGCATGATCTTAGCTACACACCACTGGGAGATGTCCCATTGGTGACAGGACCCTGTGCTGAGACTTTTTCACCAGGATTATAGAAAAAGGCACTCGTGACAGCCATGTCTTCTTCCAAGCTTTTCTTTTGTTACCACTTGAGATCCTTCAGGGAAAGAAAAGAGAGTGTCTGTAAGAAACACTTACTTGAAATAGAAGAAAATTGCCAAGGAAATCAACAGCGATGTTATAGACAAAGCATGGCCAACGATCGCCATATAATAAAGTATGAACGCCATCTGCAATTTAACAAAAAGAAAAGGCAAACAAGAACAATTTGCAGGCAGTCAGGTTTTTTCCTCATTAAAGAAAAACCTATAAAATCAACCTCCCATTTTTTTTTTTCTTTTCTTTCAAAGGTTCTTTCTCAATATACTTTTAACATCAGCAATCTATTAAACAGCATAACTCATGGTCGAAAGATGAGATAAGTGTTTCTTACATGAGTTGATCCATTTCTGCTGCACTGAAGTAACTGGCAAGATCCCTGCTCACACTATGCATCACTAGCTTTCCAAGCTCTAGGAAAGCACAGCAGACATAACACACTCAGATTTTCAAAAAGCCTATGACAAGCTTCCATGAAAAAAAAAGTATTGAAGAAAACAGGTTGCTGCAGGATTGGTAGAAAGATTTTATGGTTTTAGAACAGCTTAAGCCACAGAGAGCAAAAACTTAATGGCCACTTTTTGAGATGAGTCAGTGGTTAGGTGCCCTCAGGACTCATGGTGGGGCTGGCTTTTTGTTCAACATATTCATCAGTCACCTGATGCAGGAAATCTCTTAAGTTTCCAGGTGCTACTAAGGTCTTCCAGATAATAGTGAGGGACTCCAGAAGGACCTTAGATAACTGAGGGGACAAGAAGATGCCATATGAGCTTTAATACAGAAAAAAGTGGGGTGATAAAGCTAGGGACAAACCATCTAAACCCTGCTTACACAACACTGAACTCAGGAAAGGAGAGCTTGGAGGCATCCTGCCAGTTCTCTGAGTCACTGGCTTACCACGTAATGACCGCCAAAAAGTCGACAAAATGCGGGATGTGATCAGGAAAGGCACTGAGGGTAGAATATCATTGTGCCTCTGTTTAAAATTTACATTGCACATCTTAAATGCATGTGTGTTTCTAGTCTCCCCACCTCATGGACATGGCAGAGATAGGAAAGGTGCAAAGAAGGTAACTAAAATAACTAAGGTATAGCAGCTGTGTTACAAGCACGTCCACAGGCCAGGATTCTCCCCTTTGGAGAGGAGAAGTCAAGAGGGGTTTATGATTAAGGCCCACAGAGTCATGAAAGCAGCAGATGAGATAAAGGTTATCCTCAACTCCTATCACAGAGGAACAGCACACCCTGACACAAATTCTGGTTCACACTGGTGTGAACCTTGCTAGATGGTCTTACAATGCTGTGAAGCCAAGATGCACTAACAGGTAGCCAGGCTTTCACTTTGACTAGTATCAGTGAAATCTAAGATAGATCTATCCATATTTTTTATGCCAATAGTAAAACAAAATTGTAGGACAGGACCTGGGCTTCAGAATGCTGCAGTATTTAAATGTCATGTTGTGGTCTAAGGTGTGTCATGTTGTGCTCTTAAGCATCACCCAGTTGTCAGAAGGCTGCAGGAGGTTAAATGGCATGCCAGCCTTTCACCACTGTCTTCTTTTCTGAAAGTACTAATGTGGTATAAGCCTGTCTTAAAAAACAAAGACTTAGATAGGAGGTCTCAGTTCCCCTGTTGTGTTTCTTTTCAGCTTTACTTCATTAATTTTTCTTTTATTATGCATGAGTTATTTTCTTTTTTTTTCATAATTATATGAATTGCCTTTGTAGCCCTAACTTTTGTCAGTCACATCTTCTGGTGTGTCCAAGTAATTTTAAACTTTCATGTGAAAATAAATATGAACAAAATTCAGAAAACAAATCCATTCCTCTTAGCCAAGGTGCACATCTACTTATCTAGTTTGCTCTTCAGTCATTTTACGAGTTTGAAATCAGCTCCTTCTTTCATTAACATAGGTGGTGGTGGGCCAATTCAAAGTCACATTTACACTATCCTGACCACATAGAACAGACATGATCTGAGTGTAAATATAATTCACCAAGGTATGGAAATCTCTGCATATTAACAGCAAATACCTTAGGTCTCCTTCAAAAAGACTAACTACTACATCACTAGTGAGTGCCAATGCTTGTCAACTTGTTCTGAGTGCACCTGCAACCCCAGAGCGGACAGACCAGAGTGAAGAGAAGTCAACTTTCTGAATACAGACTAGTGGGAGAAGTTTATATCTGCATGCATGTGACATGTCTTCCATTCCATACTAAGTGGTTGCTGTGGGGTTATATGATATTAGATTGATATAATTGAATTTAATTTACAGATGAATTTTTCAAAAATGCATTGTTTTGGCACCTAACCTGTATACAACCCTAAGCCTGAAACAGCGAGAAGTAGGAAAGGCTTTCAGATACCTGGATGCAAATCTATGTGAACCCTGGAGGATTCCTAGTTAATCAATCTACACACTTTCAGCATACAGTTGTGTATCTGGGAGTCAGCAGTGGCATTTTTAATTATTCCATGTAAACCTACAAGTACGCCAACTGCTCAAAAAAACTTTCCAAATATAGCAATGAAGACAGGTTAGAATGGACTGAACTGTCAGCTAACAAAGCATATGGTCTGTCACTGCATTTTTAAGAACTGGCTGTAAGCCAGTTTCAAAAGTGTAGCATGTTGGCATTTTCAGTTAACTTCAAACAAATAATCAACTATTTTATTAATTTCTGCACTCCTTGAATTGTCAATCTGTCATGTCCCTTCTGACATAACACGCTGACTCACCTAGTTTTTGGTTTGTACAGATTTTGTCATCCTGGGTTTAAAAAAAGTCTAAAAGAGACATTTAATGGTTCTTTTTTTGTCCCCCTAAAATTATTCACATGAGGAAAGAGAACTCTCTAATATGAATACCTCCTACTTAATTATATTAACCATATGTACATAGAAATAGACTACAAATGAAGCACACTCCTGGTTTTGAAGACTGGGATTAAAAGTCATAATTTAACTTGGCATTTCTGTAAAGAAAGATTCTTTCTGCACTTTCCATTGCTTTTTGTTTCAGAAGAATCTCGACACACGAAAAATTTTCCTTTGTGTTCTATCTGCACTTTGCTTGAATGATGTTCAAAATTGTTCTTCTGGAAGGCATGGATAATAGGTAACAGAACTGCATTTTTTGCCTCTCTACATGGGCCAACATCTGGAAAAATTTTTATGGCACTTCCATTTAATGGCTCTGTGAGCTAAGACTGTTACTTTTATTCTTTCTTTGTCATATAGATGAGCCCCATTTTACCATGATAGCTCCTCATGCTGCAAAAACTTTTAGAATTCACCTCCAGCCTAGTGCAGTAGCCTTTTCCAAGGCCCTTTGAGCTGGATCATTACTAAATATAACCACATACTGGTTTTTGGCTGCAAAAAACAAGATCCTCCAACACAAACCCCAAATCAAATAACTTTTTGACTCTTTTCCTTTCACAATTCCAAAAAGTCACAAATTATTCTGTCACAAATCTGTAATCAGATTTTCCTGGAGCTCCACTCACATTTGAGAAATATGTTTATTTTCATGATCGTCCCAATTTAATTTTTTTCAAAGCTTTTCTCAGATTACTCTCTCCTTGTTTCTTTTCATGCTTTTATATTTAGTTCTCCTCTTTCAGCTTAGCAACTTGATTTTGGAAATACTGATGCAAATGCTTAATTTATGATTGTAAAAAGTCTCAATGACTTCAGCTGAACTGTTAAACGTGTTCAGGCTTGTAGGATTTCCTGGATTAATGGTACCTTCATAAATACTTCTTTTCAAAAGGAGTGAATACAGGGTGATATTCTTCGCTTAAGAAAAATAATTTAAATTTACATTAATATTTCTAGCCCTACACAGAAGACATAAACCACTGGAAGATACTTGTTAGAGAAAGTGAAATTGAAATTTTAACGGATTATTTTGTAACTGTTGAACAATCAGGGAAAAATCATAGGAATTAAAAAATGCATTTGAAAAACACTGAAAAACTTGTCATATGAGTTGCTACTGGATTATCCACCCCACAGCAAACCTATATGTAGGTTTGAGCACTCATCAAATAATTTTAATAAGCTAAAACCACAAGGACAATGCTATTAAACTCTTGTGCAACAAATAAAGCTGAAAGATGAGGACTGCTCTGATCTCTCTCACATGTGTCTTTCTGCTAGCAAAGCCCAAAGCCCTTCCCAAACAATCACTGTCATTTTAATAGCATACCTTTAATTTTTCAGAAGTGAAAGAGTTGCACAGGGTATAGTTGGACCACGTTCGGTTGCTCTCAGGATGGCGGAACCAGTTTCCAGTTTCATCACAATATTTTGAAGCTCTTTCTAATGATAAATTGCAATAACAATTTATTCAGCATTGCATATGACACATTTAAAAATCCATTAAAAAAAAAGAATTTCTGTGTTTGGAAAGAAAATGTCTGTATAACAAAATCCAAAGAATTTTCAACTTGTGCAATTATTATACATTTTGTTATTTGGTTCTTTTCCTCATGTTTATCTGGTAGTATACTTGTTATCTATCTGTCTCCTTTAGCCTTGCATGAATGCAGAAGAGTATATACAACTAGCTTTTGTTCAGGTGCAATTATTTATGTGATAATAATCCATTCAAAGAGGTTTGTAGGATTTTCTGGATTAATGGTACCTTCATAAATATTTCTTTTCAAAGGGAGTGTGATATTCTTTGCTTATGACAAATAATTTTAACTTATGTAAATGTTTCTAGCCTTGCAGAGAAGACATCAACAGCTTGGAAGACACTTGTTACAGAAAGCAAAACTGAAATTCTAACGGATTATTCACATGCAATTATTTATACGATAACTACCCATTTAAAGCTGTTTATGGAAGAGAAAGTAACCTCAGGCCCTGACCTGAAGGCAATGTGCAGTGTTTCAGGTATCAAAGGAAATAATTAGTTAAAAATACTGTGTAGAGAAAGGGCAGCAAGCAGTGTATAGAGTGGAGCCTGGATGCTGGAGATGTTGACAGCCCCAGTGCCTGCCAAGTCCTGCTAGGATGAGTAGGAGCAGTGCTCACTTTTCTCTAAGGCTACAAAGCATGTAGGCACAGAGAGAAGAAGCATCACAAACATTCTGGCACATGTTCTAAGTGTCCGGTTTAATTTAAAGTGGCTGAAAAGTTCTCTGTTAAATCTGATGTGTGTTTGGCCTCTGTATGTGTCTCTGATACTTGTTCTTGCACTGCAGGTGGTTCTGGCATTCCTTCCAAAAGCCCTGTTATACGGATAGCTATCCAGGCTTGTGCTCTCTGGCTTGCCCTCTTTTACTGTGGCAGGGGGATGATCGGGGTTTCAGCACTGTACAGCTCTGAAGGATGCCTGGAGCCACAGATGTGTGCTGTGCCTGTGTCCTCCTGGCCATGCTCACATTTCTGCCTGGGACACCCTGGATGCTGAGGCACAGACAGTTACTCCTAAACACCTGTCAAGTTTTGGACTAGTTCCTTGGCCTTCTCTTTAAGTATTACCCACATGGGAGTCACTGGAAAGTTTGCCTGAGTAACAAAGGCAGGATAAAATCATAAACTTAAATTATTTTATGCTTTCTTAAACAATGACACAGCCATTTATTTATGAAAAATAGTTTTTCAAATCTGACTTTAAAGTCTCAAAAGTCTACTTTGACTCCCCTTTGTAACTTTATAAATTTATTGGCTTCATATACAGATTACAAGCATTTCCAGTCAACACACTTCTACAGAGCCAATTAGCATTTGAATATACACATTTTCATTTTCTGTGGTCAGTATTTGCATTTATTTTTCTTAATCAGCTCTGATGATCAATGATTCCATTAATTTGGAAGACTTGTATTCCCTTTATACACTCTAAAGAAACAACTGATCATATTGGCAAGCAGTTGATAATATTGATCATAGATTGAGCTATCTTCCTCTGACTAGAAATAGTGTCATTGCAAAAAAAGAAGAGAAAAAAGAAGAAAATCCTCCAGAACACAGCATACTTTTGATATTACTTCGAGTTTCAAATCACTGTTTTGGGGGACTTGTTGAAAATCAATACGTGCATCAACAACACCAAGAGAACAGTACATGTTATCTCAGCCTTCCATCGCTGCAGCTTGGAGATAATCTCAGGCTGCCTGTGTAGAAATGTTCCCAACGTACTCATTGCCAGATATTATCTAAAGCTGGAAAAAGTCTTCAGTCATAGATAAAAGATTAATGGTTATACTACCATGGAACACAGCGTACAAACATTGTACCTCCTATCCCTTGCACTCTGCAAAGAACACGGCTTTTATTAATATGACATAGAGTATAATGGTAATACCATCATCTCTGTACTTCAGTATCTGTGTAGGCACTCTGCTGAAGCTTAGTGTGGCCTCAGTAAGTTAGAAAAAAACATGTGGCCTCATACTTTACCTTGAAGCGAGACAAACACAACTGCTCCTAGTTTGGAAGCAGCCATGGCTCATGGATTTCTTGCTGTAATGTTGTCAGAATAAGGGACTGGGAGATAAGCTTCCCTACTGTCAATCTAAGTGACTCAAACTTGTCCAACATCTCTTCTAAATCTACGATTTTATGCAGAAATATAGCTGTGAGTCTGTAACCCAACCACTGTTCTACAAAAGTTATTTAACCGTGACAAGTGCAAGGTCCTATGCCTGGGTCAGAGCAATCCCAGGCACAGCTACAGGTTGGGTAAAGAAGAGATTCAGAGCAGCCCTGCGGAGAAGGACTTGTGGGTGTTGGCTGATGAGAAAATGAACATGAGCCGGCTTCAGTGAGCGCTCGCAGCTCAGAAAGCCAACCGTATCCTGGGCTGCATCAAAAGGAGTGTGACCAGCAGGTCAAAGGAGGTGATCCTGCCCCTCTGCTCTCCTGAGATCTCACTTGGAGTACTGTGTGCAGTTCTGGTGCCCTCAACATAAGAAGGACATGGAACTGTTGGAACAAGTCCAGAGGAGGGCCACGAGGATGATCAGGGGACTGGAGCATCTCCTGTATGAACATAGGCTGAGAAAGTTGGGGCTGTTCAGCCCGGAGAAGAGAAGGTTGCATGGAGACCTCACAGCAGCCTTCCAGTATCTGAAGGGGGCCTATAGGGATGCTGGGGATGGACTCTTCACTAGGGACTGTAGTGACAGGAGAAGGGGTAATGGGTTTAAACTTAAATGGGGGAAGTTTAGATTGGATATAAGGAGGAAATTCTTTCCTGTGAGGTTGGTGAGGCACTGGAATGGGTTGCCCAGGGAAGTTGTGAATGCTCCATCCTTGGCAGTGTTCAAGATCAGGATGGATGAAGCCTTGGGTGGTATGGTTTAGTGTGAGGTGTCCCTGCCCATGACCGGGGGCTTGGAACTTGATGATCTTAAGGTCCTTTCTAACCCTAACTATTCTATGATTCTATGATTCTACAGTGGCCTAGTACAAGGTGTAGTATTATGAACCTGGGCATGAGGTGGTTTTAATGTTAACCAGAAGAACCTAGTAAACTCTAAAGAAACGGAAAATGTGTAAGGATGGGTAATGCAAAATGGAAAAGTGGGCTTTAAGATTATTAAAATACAATGCAAACTCTAATTTTTTAGGCTCTGCCTCACCCTATCAGCTTGGATAGCCCACCACTTGGACATCACATTATCCAAAGTGAAGGAACAGTGGCATTGCCTGCGATTTGTCTCACCTGATTTTAGAAACCTTAAGTTATGCAATTTATAGCCAGTTGTACTGGCTCTCTGTGGGTAGCTTAGAAAGACAGACACTGCAAGAACTGTCTGAAAAAAAAAAAGGAGAAATCTCACCCGCAGCGGTATTTTCATGGGAGTAGTGCAAGTGTCTAAGAAGATTAACTAGTAGTAATAGTTTTGCATGTAGTATTGTCTGTGCTACCAACAGTGCTTTTATGAATCATGTTTTCATAAAAAACACCTCAGCCATTTATATTTAACAAATATCTTAACCCAAACAAGCATGACAACTCTATCAATCAGCATTTTTACAATTAGACCAACTCTATAGCTAGCACAAGTTAAAAGAGTCAACACCAATGTTTTTACTTATTGTCAAGTTATAAGCTGGAAGTTGAAGTAAGTTTTCCTCTGTTGCAGTACATACTCAGCACATACCAGACAGTGGATTCTTTGCCATTGTTTGGATAGACCTGTGTAGTACTTAGTTTTGCAGATGAGGGAATAGCTGATGGAGCACATCTGATATACTTATGTCCTCAGTAAAATATTCTAGAAGAAAACTTTTCAAAAATGAAAAAAGCATCTTATATAATACAATGGAAACCCTAGAAAACTTCCAGTGTCCTACTAAGTGAAGCATTATCACTATTGTTAGAGTGCCTCAGTCAGCAGAAATGGAATCTGTATAATACAGTCATACTGTGCACTGAGGGGATAAGAACTGATTTTTAAAGTTCAGCTGTCAAGATTGCTAAGAAGCAGGACAGAAATGCACAGAAGGGTAGGGGGAAAAGAAGAAGCTGGACAAAGAGTTCAGACCTGGTTTATTTATCACTGTCTAAATGATGTCACTTTCAGACAGGAAAACAGGACCAGCAGGAATCCAGAGCTGGCTTTTTTTTTTAGCCAGAGTCAGGAAATCTGCATTGTGTGGCAGCAACAGAAGGGCTTTCCCAAGCCCATTCCTCCCTGTGTTGCTCGGGGTGCTTCAGCAGGTGTCTGGGGCTCCTGCACAGCAAGGACACAGTTTATTGCCTGCAGCCTGCTGTGAGCGCAGGCATGTCGCCCTGCCGAGGCACACTGCTGAGTGGGAAGGAGCACATGATGGACGGGGTATGCAGGAAGGAACATCACAGTTGGGAAGGTACTTGGTCTCCCTGCTTGCTAGGAGCCAGGTAGGTAGAAGGGGCTGCAACTGCTGCTGCCACCCAAAGTCTCTCTCTGTGGTTTGTGGAAGGCCATGATTTCTCATCTGCGGTGGCTGCTCTTGTCAGCTTGGCAACCGAACTCAGCTGAACGCTTTGTGCATTTGGCCAGTTGAGAAGAGTGTGCGTGTGTCCCTCAAATACAGTCCCTTGTGGTCACAGGCATCACAGCTGGTTAAGTCCAAAAGGGTCTGCAAGAGCTATTGCATCTGTCCTCACTTCTCCTCCATGGAGCATTTATCCTTAATTCTTTAAAGGTACTTTGCAGAAAGAGAAAGCAATTGAGAGACTGCAGTATGGCACAGGAGAGAGCTGCATAGAACACAACTACCACAGTGCCTCTCTCCCTTCTGCTGCTGAGATCCACACTCCAGCAAGTGTAGGGCTGTATTTCCATGTTCCTTGGTTATGAGACGTAACAACACATTCATCGTCATCTGAGGTAACTGCTTATGAATACATATGGATCTGTTTCCAAACTGCACCTCTAGAAACCTGGATCATAGAGCCACATGGAGAGTTATGAGTAACTGGCCTACAAAGTGGGACCAAAGATAGAAACCTAACAAAGTGGACAACTGAGTTTTGTTAAATTCAGTCTTGGATCATAAAGTTGAGCCGGGGTTGCTCCCTGCTGGCTGGGCTGGTTACTGCTGTTAGCCACTCACTGCTCCTTGACTAAGGGAAAGGGAGCAAAAGTGAAATGAAAAGGTATGGCTGCCACAGTGCAACTTACACATTCAGCTTCATTGCTATGTGACTGCACCTAATAAATCCCGAACAAAGACACTGTGCAGGCAGGGTGAGGTGGGTAATCCAACATTCCCCTACCACAAACCCAGCAGCCTATGGATGGCAGAGGTCAATGCTCTGCTCCTCCTGCTGCCGCCAATAAATCTGCCTCCCTAAAAGGCCATTGCATCCACAATATATTTTTTTTCCATTAACAAGAATATTACCAGCATGAATTACATATTAAATTCCTATCGAATTCAATTCCCAGCAATTTCAGCATGACCTGGAAACATTTTCAAAGTGATTACACCAAAGATTAACCTGTATAAAATATGAATATAAAATACAATTCAAGAGAAACTGTACAAGTTGCCTGAATAGGGGAGTATAAAGCAGCCCTGCTCAGAGGTTCACAGCCAGGACTGGATGAGACAATGAATTTCCTGCTGTCACTAGCAGTAAAGCAGTAGGTCTTGGTATGTTTTCCAGACAAATCAATTTGGTTATATGCATTATCACATTGCACATGATGGCCATTGTGAGAAAGAGATTGCTACAAGAGGAAGCAGTTGTTTCTTGAAAAGGAAAAAGCTGTCACAGTTTGTAGAGAGGAGTTTCTGTTTGTCTGTTAGCTTTCAGGTACTAATTTCCTTTCACAGGAAAGAGCTTCTTCAGGTGAAGAAGGAAGTGTGGGAAGCCCTAGCTAACTAAACAGACTGGATTATCAGAGTGCTCCTTCCTTCTTTCAGAACACGATGCCTATCTAGTAAGAACTGTTCCTAATTTCAGTGAAATAAGTGGGACTACAGCTGGTAGTTAGTTTTGAAGTTGTCAGACAAAATGAACAAAGCACTGATTGTGTTCTCTATCATTTTGCTTCTGGGTCTTTTTCTCCAGAATACAATTTCACCTTGTTTACTTTCCAACATAACTTTCTAGCACAGGTGCAGATCGGAGAAGAATCCAATCATGCTACTGGATAATGTTTCACTTTTCCAGTTAGGAATTGTGTAAATATGAAAGCGCAAAAGACAGCTGAACAACATCATTTTATTCCAGAACTCAAAGCTATACCAGGCCTCAGACAAAAGTAACTTAGTCATCAGTGAGCTGATACACATCGGCTCGGCAGATCTCTGTGCAGCCCAATGCTGCACAGCATGAAACACTTGTTTCAGAAGTCTATGGAGTTACTTGAATGCCTAAAATATATGCAAGGTGGTTTCATATATAAAGACTTAATGTGAAGCAAATCTGACAGGCATTGCAGTTTTCATCATGTGAAATCATTGTTCTTCATGATGAATTTCCTGTTTTTCAGCAGAAAATCTAGCTGTATTTTGTTTATCAGGCATAAATTACCAGAGAAAATAATGACTTGTGACACAAAACCTGACAGACTTCTCACAAGAGCTGAACCTGAGCTTTTGGCTACCTATAAGTGGCAGCCACTTCCATTAGCAGTTGAAAGATTTTTAGTCGCCCTCACGATTTCTTGTCTCCCTCCTACTTTATTAAGCCCCTGTGTGATGATCAGCCACCCGTAAAGTAAAGGCTGGCTACACGCTGGTTTGACACTGTAGCTGTAATACATGCTGGGTTACTCAACAGCTACTCTAGGAAAGTGGCTCTGGCTCACCCAGGAGATGCTGAGCTGCTGCCAAGCCAGGGAAACAGTGTTGACTGATCAGGATGCAGGCAAAGAGGCTGACAGAGTTTCTGACAAGGATAACAGAGACGTGCCAGGGGAAAATACTGAGTCCAGAAGAACACAGGTATTATTCCTAAACAGGACAGCAGATAGGACAGTAGCAGCTGAATAACTGGAGGCTTTTCCTCCTGTGGCTGCGGAGAGAGAACAGGAATACTTCTAAATTGTGGCAGAAAGAATAACTCCAATATGCACACACTGCGGACCAGACCCTACAGGACACATTTGTACATCGGGCAGTGATTTACAATCAGCTATACAAGCCGCAGGCCTTGGTGTTAATAAGCATTAATAAGTCCTTCTCCATGGAGGACTTCAAGTGTTACTTTGAAGACTGCTGTTGTAGGGGAGCAATTAGTTCAGAACAAGTCACTGGAGACAAGTAGGCAAGTGGAAAAGCTGGGAATAGGTGGCTTGGGAGCAAGCAGGAGAGTAGCTCAGTAAACACACACTGTGGGATAAGGATCTTGAGTTGCTGGGAGAATTCTGTAATCACAGGGCTGTCCAGCACCCACTTTTGCAGGTATAAGCTGAGGAGCACATGAAATGTGCATAAACTAGGACTGTTAGTGCCACAATTATTTTTCTATGAAAACCATGGAAGCAGGGAAAGCAGAAACCTTGTTGTAAATTTTCCTATTCATCTACTGCAAATGGGATTCAGAAAAATGCAGAATAGGTCTGATCCAAGCTGGAAACTTCTCTGTTTCTAAATAGGCAACAAGCTCAGTAAAATCAACAGTTTAGCTAAGGATAAGCTAAGGATACTGGGTAATTAATTCACATCTATCCACTACTCTATTTCTTTACTTTCCAGTTGGGAACATACATTTTGGTTTAACCTTACCTAAAATGTTTAGCTTTATATACCCTGCCCCTCCAAATGTTTAGTTTCACAGTTTTTAACTGCAATTGGCACCCTGTGTCTATGCTGGATTTAGCTCACTGTGGCATCAAGCACCGCCTATAAGCAACATGTCCTGAGGATGGAACACACAACTGCTTCTTTCTTCAAACAATAACATTGCGCTTTTATACTTGTGTGTAGTATTTCCTTATATCTATTTAGCAATATTTCTGTCCTTGATTTTTCATTGCATTTGTCCTTTTAAATGTTCTTGAATTACTTCTCCTAGACTGCAGGGCTGCTAGTATTTGTATGAAGAATTCAATGAACAACTGAAACTTGGAGACTGAAAGAACGTTATTTCTGCTCATCTTCCATAAAATGGTATTTTCCAACAAAAACTGGACAAAACCCATGCTGATACATGTTTCATGCACATAAGTATTTTCATTACAAAACCTCAGAATGAGATGCTAAAAATGTTTTGGCATTATAACTAAGTTGCTAGTTTTTTTTATAAACTACATTTCATAATCCTGGCTATGGATTATGGATTACATTTACACAAATATAAATAAATGTAAAATATTTTACAAATGCAAATATATAAATTAGGCAACCCATTAGCTTGATATATTTTAATTTCAGCCAAACCCTCTAAGATTTCACAATGCTCTAAAAATGCCACTGGGAAAATGCTTCCATTTGATGGCATGAATGTTCTGAAGACCTTGTTTGAAAAGTAAGATAATAAAAAGCAATACTGTACCAGTTGGATCAAAGTCTGGAAAATAATCTGGACAATTCTGAGCAGTGATCCTGCCAGCAGGTGTGTCATCCCAGCACAACCAGCCATCCCACGTTCGGTTGCAGAACAGTCCTGGCCATTTAAGAGGAATGCAGTAGTTAATTCAACACAGTCACTCCTGAATCTGCTCTCTTCTACCTTCTCAAGGACTATAGCTGTCTGCAGACAATAAAGTTTTCTTTTTGCAATAAAACCTGTTGTTACTGCTACACTTTGAGTGGTATTTGAGTGCTTGGTCTTGCTGACCTGAGTATCATGTTCATTCTACTGGAAAGTAATGTTTTAAAGCCTGTTGAACTGAACTTTGAATGTAGGGTCTGATCCTATAAACTTCTCTTTTTGAACCACCTTCTGTCCTTAGCTATAACACACGTGGCACCTTACAGACACCTACACTCACATTTCATTTCACCTTCTGCTGTTCAGCAGGTCTGAAAATCAAGTCTTTGAAATGTAAAGGTAGGAAGTGCTTGTGGGGATGTCCCAGCTAAAAGCAGTATTTGCAGGGACAGGTTTCTGTAAAGGTGCTGCATTATTCAACACTAGAGGTCAGTGACATAACTACAATTCCGATGAAGTGGGTACAAGACCAGCCTGTAACAGGCAGACTGTCTGCTGATGTTGTCTGGCCAGGCATGCTGTGATTCATGCCCCTTCTGGGAAGGCAGCACTATCCAGGCTCTGTCCCAAGGACTGTTCCTAGCCCCAGAAACAACGGCCGTCTTAGGGAGACAGAACACAGCTCATTCTTGGTTCCTGTTACAGAGATGTTATATACTATGGTCCACAAAAATTGTGCTGTGAGACTGCTTGCTGTAACATATTTTTCTGACTCACTGGATTTATTAAAGCAAAACATAAAAATCCAACTGTATACTTCCTACTTATTTTCCATTTAAAATCAGTTTGTGCTGGGGAAAAGCTATTTATCATCATGACCATCATATTAAAAGGTTATATAGTGAGAAGATATATCTTGCCTTTTGTGCTTTTGGTTCCTTTTTTGCTTTTGGTTTCTTTTTTGCTTTTGTTCAGAATTGCTTCTATGACCATGTAGGTTGTTTTTGAAAGAATCATATGGAAGGCATCTATCAACCATATGAAGTTAATAAAATATGGGCAGGTAATTGCTTCTGGTGCTTTTGAAATTATCCACAGATAAAGCTTTCTTACTAAAGCAAAAAAGCTGTAAAAAGACATCTCAAGATGCACCAATAGCTGTTTTTAAGTCAAAATAGTTGTGGATTAAAAAATGAAACATAAAACTTTCTCAATTCTTTTCCCCCAGATTAGCTGTCCAGCAAAAAAAGATATTTTTTATGAACACTTTTTCTTCATTAGCTAGAATTTTACGCGTATCTATTTTTCCATTGTCAAGATAAATGTGCTAATGTTACTTGTTCACTTAATTAACCAATCATCATATCAGCAGTTTTGTTGTCTATCCTTCAGGCATTCTCATGCTCTTCTCTAGCTTTGAGATGTATCTGAAAGACTTTTAGGAACCGTTTTGCAATATCAAAGAAAAAGAAGAGCAGAGAATGTTTGCAACTTGAGCTTGTATCTGAAAGACACTGCAGAATGAGTTTGCTAGGGATTTCTAGTACTAAATCCTTTTCCTTGCCTGATAAAGAAAATAAAACCACTGATGTTGATCTATACATTGTGGAATTTGTCTTTCAAGGTAATTAACAGGATATATATACACACATACACCCATAAATATATATATATACACATACATATATAGATATCCACACACACAAACATGTATTTCTCTTTTAAGCACTGCAGGAAATAGAACAGTATAAGTAATAAAAACAGAAAAAGAAGAGTTGAACACCATATTGTTATACAAATCACCAGCTAAAAGCACCACATTTTAGATGGACACAGTTTTAGTGTGGAAGTACTGCACTGTCCTAGAGGGATGTTCAGGTGCTTCCATGTGCCTGAGCAGTTCATTATGCTATTTGTGTGGGATTTAAAGTAATCAATTCTACCTTGAAATGGGCATTTGTATTATACCATCTCTCCGGCTCCCGAGTGCGAGATACTATGCAGTTCTCTGCAGTTCAGTGCCATCAGCTTTGAGCCCTCATTGATTCTGAAGGATTTAAACTATCTTTGCTCTAGTGTACAAGTAAGTTACATCAGGTACTGCAAAGATACCAGTGACAAATCAGACACATCTCAGCTAGCTCTGTGAAGCTGTACCAGACATTGGGCTTTCCGGCGAACCTTAGTGCTAGACTCCACTACTGTTTGTGCTGAAAATGCATGCCCAGTATACTCCTTCAGCTCATATGTTGGGCTTTTCCTCCTAGGAGGTACTCCTACTGCTGTCCTTTGCATGAAGGGAATTTCCCATCTCATCCTATCCAGTCTTTCAAATTTGCAGCTAAGAGACTTAGACCCTTGTCCATTTCCAATCCTCTATGAAGTGTGCATATGGAGGGCTGATGAAGATCCTGCAATTTAGTTGAAACCGCAACTTCAGTAGTGTTGGTATGATTCTGTAGTCACCCATTATCTTCATTCTGGGTTATAAATGAATTAAGTGCATGTTGCTATGAACATAACAGTCCCCAGTGGCATCACTTAAATCTAGCTGCCACTTGAAAGACTGCAGAAACTGCTGTGCTGTGTTGGATGGCTGCAGGTGTGCCACTGCTGTCTTCCTGCAAAAATGCAGCCCTTGAGAACACTACCAGGAATTCACATGTCATGAGATGTATAAATTCCAAGCTCATATTGGGAAAACACTTCATCTCTTTGCAGCTAATAACATGAGCAAGGTGCAAAAGAAAGGTGAATCCAGCAGAGCTATCAATGGATACCAAATTTATAGAGCTGAAGCGTAAAAGAGTAATCTGGGCAGACAGTGTTTTCCTCCTCAAGTCCAGCAACTAAAGGCTTGTTTATGTCTGAAACATGATGCTTTTTATCCTGTAAGCCTGTTTAAACACTTGTGGGTTTTCCCCATTTTTTGCCTGAACAAAGACCTATTTAAAGCAAGTGAAATCTCCATATTCATCCCCAAACATTTCTTCACCAAGACCTGAATATCTTAACATCTAATTCTTCCTTGAGTCTTACAGAGCCCAGTAAAATCGTTGTGGTAAAAAGCTGTAGAAATGTCTTTGTTTGTGCATTACAAAAAATCACATATTATCTCCACCCCTTCTATTAGGTTGTGGTTTTTTAATCATGATTTTTTAATACATTTTTTTGTTAAACTATGTCATCATCATCTCTGTTCTTTATTTGCACAAATCCCTACAATGGATTCAATATTTTTTTTTTTATAGCTCGCTCATAACTTCTTATGGATTTTCTGTGAGAAAAAGCAACCAGAACTCTTAGTTCTGGAAATGCTGCTTCATTTATACTGTGCCTCTGTAGCACCACTATTATTTGTCATTTCCCTTTTTATTAATCTTAATATATGGCTCGTATACAGTGAAGATGCCTGCTCAGTGCATTATGAACCTCTTCTTGCTAATGTTACTGCTGAATAGAGAATACCTGAAACACCTGTATTGGTACTGAGCATGACGGCTATCAGTCAAATCACAAATAACAGAAAAACGAAACAATGACAAAGGCAAACAGAACAACATTTCTATTTAAGAGATCACCATTCACAGTCTGATCTCTGTGTGAGCTTTTTGAAAGGTTCTGGAGAATGCTATTCCCAAAGCAAGAACAGGAGATATTCAAGCAGCAAAGCACTGAGCCAGAAACATAGATGACGAAGGTACTGTCTGCATGGGAAGGAAGGAAGAGCTGTTCATTCCCTGGGCTCATTCCAGGCTTTTTTCTTTCTTTGCACTTAAGAGGATGCTAAGTAAGTGTGAATTTGACTACTGTTTACAGGAAGGAAACTGCACAGCAAGGAAGACTATGGTTAGTATACAGAAGAAAATGTTTTTTTATAGCTATGTAATGGAGCACGGCAATATACAAACAGATTCCTTTAGATTTTTTTTACCTTTTTTCTTATACGGAGGAGCTCTGTTCATCCTCTCATAGCATTTAAACTGCGAATCTATTATCTTCTGTCGTATGACTGAATTTTCAGTTACAACAGGCTCTAATGTAGGATCAGTATAATTTACAGTAGAAGAAAGACTTGGAACCATTCTCTGTACAGAAAGGAAAAACTGTTAGTACAAGTGAATAAACCAGAAGGATGAAATAAAATAAAAATCACAAATCTCTATCAGGCATTCTTCAAAGGCCTTTTATTTGCACATATGTTTAGCATTATGATGGGCTTTATACTGTTTGGAAAGTAAATGTTGATTTTTTAGTAGTTTACCTCATTATAAAGACAGGATTTTAACCAAGCCCTTTTTCTTGACAAAAGAGAGCACCATTAAATACTTGATAAAGTCTTCAATTTTTTTTAATTTAGTTTAGTGATCTGCAAAAAAAAATTTCTATCTTCCCAGAGTTACACCCATGTACTTCTGCTCGTGTTGATTTTCCTCCAGACTGCCCAGACAAAATAACTCAATGCCACAGCCTCAAAACAGATTATTTCATGGTTTATGTCACCTGCTTTGAGCTTCTTCAAGTGTGGTCATAGAAACACAGGGCAGAGAGTTTTAACCTCACTACCTGGTCTTAGCTTCTACTTCAGTACCTTTAATCAAAGTGTCCCTAAATTTGAGAGTCTGAATAGCAAGGTCCTCTTTATCAAGTGGCATCTTCTGACTTCTCCCAATTTGATCTGCCTGTAGAGCAAAAGGAAGGATCATTGCCTCTGGAAGGCAAAAATGTGAGGTAAAGAGGTTGGTTATCTTTATTTCCATACATTCAGCCATCCCTCTGTTGCACAGCCCAGGTCTGTGAGCCTGAGTGGAAATGAGAGTATAGAGCCTTAGTTAATTCTGTTCTGCTTTTTTAATCCTGTATCAAGACACTTTGCATGTGGGCGATATGAAAGAATTAGCTCCTCTGCTTCCCCAAGCAAAAACAATGCTGATGTGGCACTTTCCTATTTTTCCCTATACTAAACCATACTAGAGCCACCACAAAAACATATAGAGTCATTTAAAGGCTGCTTCAAAATTTAGGATTCTCATAAACATACAAACTTGACATTTTTTTTGCAGGAAAAATTAGTACACAGGTCTTTAAGCAAGCATCTGTAGTGGTTCAGACTGAAAACATGACAAGCTTGAAAATTCAACTATCAGCTTACTTCACATCAAAAGCAATTGCATCTCATCTTTTTCCCATTTGCACAACTAAAATACCTTGATAAAATACACAGCAAACCCAGTTGTTTGACTTATTTAAAAAATGCCATTACTTTATCCTGAATCTTTTGCACCAAACCATCACAGTTTAATCTTCTTATAGAATAACAGAATCCCAGAATAGTTATGGTTGGAAAGGACCTTAAGATCATCTAGTTCCAACCCCCCTGCCATGGCCAGGGACACCTCACACTAAACCATGCCACCCAAGGCTCTGTCCAACCTGGCCTTGAACACTGCCAGGGCCAGAGCATTCACAGCTTCCCTGGGCAATCCATTCCAGTGCCTCACCACCCTTACAGTAAAGAACTTCTTCCTTTATATTCAATCTAAATTTCCCCTGTTTAAGTTTTATAATTACACCTAATCAATTGTTTTTTCTTAATTTTATCTAATCTCTTGATACAAACATTTTCAACTATATACAGCTACTATCTGAAGACTGGAGGACAGGACAAGTGAAGGCTTCTTGCACTTAAACAGGCGCTTGAAATGGAAAGGAGGAATAAGAAGGAAGATATTTTCTGGCAGAAACAATTTTATATAAAAGTTATGCGCATATATACACACTCACAAAGATATACTTGGCCAGTGAAGCCACTTGGAACATTTCATCTGGCCATCCAAGTGAAAAAATAAGCATCTAGAAAGCCAGAACAGGAAATACAGAAGCAACGCCAAACATCACAGATCACTCACTTATGAAAAAAACTAAAGGGAGTTGCTGGAGTACATGAGGATCATTTAAAAACCAACCAAGCAATATCCTAAATCCAGCATGTAGTGTAGGGAAGTGTGGATGAGGTTCTTAGACATCCTCAGGTCTCTGTGTCCATGTATTCCCACAGGCATTAGCACTTTTCTGAAGTGATTCATAGATACTTCATGCTTATTTTTTCCATTCTTATTTTGCATAATAGCTCAGTTCAAAGCTATTTGCATTCAGGAGAGGAATAACAGTATCGACAAAGAAAGCTAGAGAGACTTCCATGGCATTGCCTCTGTTCTCGATGATTCCTTTGATACTCTGGGCCAGCTTGGGAACACACCTCTATTTTGAAAGCATAACCATCTGATTATGCTTGGAAAACATCTAGTTTTCCTTGCCTTGAAACACTATTTATTTTTTGTTTTCTTCTAGGAAGGAGATATCTGTTCTTCACATCTGTTTGACCGAACAAGATCAAAATCACTTTGTACTGACAGAGACCAGAAAGATGGTAATGTTGGCCATAAGTACCATTGCAGTTTCATTTGCTTTGTGCAGAATAAAGCACAACACAGACATGAAACAATTGGAAAGTGCCAGCTACGCAGATAGAAACTGTAGAAATGATTCAGTGCTTCAGAACATTTTTCCCCTATTCCTTTTTCCCCCCTTTTTTTTTTTTTGGCCTCGTTTACACATAGTTTTTAAAAGAACAGACCATTCTCAGGAGATTGCACAGTATGGAAACATATAAACTGGAATCAGAAGTAACATATGCCATCATAAAAAGAAGGCTCTATTTACATCTTTTAACTGGTGAAGATGTAACAGATTTTGGTGGGGTAACACATAACTGAGAGCGAAACCACTCTATTCTTAGGGGTCAGTTTCACTCCTGGAGACGCTGAAGGCCAGGCTGGATGTGTTTCTGAGGAACCTGACCTAGCTGAAGCCGATTTTTGCCTAGGTGAGTGTCTCCAGAGAGCAGCCTTCAACCTCGGAGCGAGAGGAAACACCGCGTGCAGGCGCCTCACTTCCGAGCGGCGAGAGCCACCGTGGGAACCTCGAGCCCCCGCCAGCCCTTGCCCAGGAGCCGGCAGCTCCGCTGAGGAGAGCAGGGACTCACAGGGGGCGGTGCCAGCAGGGAGGCCCCGCCCTGAGCGGAGCAGGTGCGCGGCGGGGCGAAAGGCGGAACGGGTGGGGCTGGAAACGAGAGCAGGATGGGGAGCTCTCGCCTCAGGACCAGGGTCCGATCTGGGAGCTCTGCTCTGGCTGCCCCGGCGGTGGTACCGTCGGCACCAGACAGAGCCGATGAGAGAGGAGGCTGCAGGGCGGAGCTCGGGGTGCAGAAAGTGCCTGCACCGGTCTCGTGAGGCGCAACGGGCAGGGCTGCACTCGGTGCTCCCTGGTGGAGGTCCTGCTGCAGCAGGGGCTGAGCTGGGGGGCGCTGTCAGTAGCTGAAAGGTGTCAGGGGAGCTGAGGGAACTGGGCTGCTTGCTCCAGGCCCACACTGAGCAGGGGCTATGGGCGTCCACCGCAGCGCATACAGAAAAGGAGGAGGACATTAATCCAGGGAGCTGAGAGCTACAAACAGCAGCAACATAAAAAAAAAAAAAAAAAAGGAGGAAGAGGTGATTGTCTTGCTGTAATAATAAGCGCTGGGGCAGGCTCACACTGACTACTGGGTGCACTTCTGGGCCCCCTCATTTAAGAACAGGGAGGTCCTTGGATGCGTCCAGAGGAAGGCAACAATGCTGGGGACAGGGTTGGAAGGCATGTCCTGTGAGGAGTGGCTGAGGGCACTGCGTTTGTCGTGTTCAGAGAAAAGGAGGCTGAGGGGTGACCTCACTGCTTTCTCCAGCTCTTCCCAAGGAGGGGAAATGGAGAGGGAGGTGCTGATCTCTTCTCTCTGGGATCCATGGATAGGACGTGTGGGAACGCTTCAGAGCTGCTCCAGGGGAGGTTTAGAGTCGACATTAGGAAGCATTTCTTTACCTAGAGGGTGTCCAGAAACTGGAACAGGCTTCCTAGAGAGGTGACCAATGCCCTATGCCTATCAGTGTTTCAGACGCATTTGGACAACACCCTTAATAACATGCTTTATCTTTTGGCCAGCCCCGACGTGGTCGAGCAGTTGGACTTGATGATCACTGTAGGTCTCTTCCAACTTTCGAATTTTTTTTCCCTACTTCCTTCTTTCCCTATCAGTACCTGCTGAGGAAATACTAGATGACCTTTCTTCCCAGCCCTGTACTAACAGAAGGGATTGAATGGGTAACCTTGTCCTATCACAGGCACTGGCTCTGTCACTTTGTGGGAAGGAGGCCCGTGACTTCTGAGGGGGGTGAGAGATGTCGATTGTCTCTGGGTAATTTGAGCATCAGAACAGAGTTGCAAAAAACACGTGTGAACTGGTTTTTGAAACTCTTCTGTGTTCATCTCGTTCATTTGGGTTTCACAGGGTAGCAAAAGAGCACATCTCTGACAGCAGTGAGGCTCAAAGATCAAGCCCTCAGCCTGAAGCAGGATGTGCTCCTGAACTCGATGGCTGCAGATCTTTTGTACGTGGGCAATACCTGCTCATTTCCTTGTGATTTCCCCCCACTTCCATTCCCAGCCCTCCCCCAAATACTAGTTTTTTAAAATGCCTGAGTTGTTTCTTTTGGAGAAACAGAACCAAACACGAGAGCCTGAGAACAGCACTCCATCAGGAGTCCATCTGGACTGATTCTCTCTCCAGTGGCACCCCATACATGTCTAAAGGAGAGCATATGAGGGGTGCAGGCCTACTGCTGTCAGGGTCCAGAGGGTGTTCATAGGCCTCAATGCTTGGGACCTGCCCCCTTTGGGAGCTGCACTGCAGATGGCCCCTCAGACCTACATCAGAACTTGTCATGCAGAACTATATGCATAGCATATCATAGCTGTTCGGTTCCATTCCATTCCATTCCATTCCATTCCATTCCATTCCATTCCATTCCCTGCACTCAGGATGAGTTGTGTAATGATGTGACCATTATCTGCTTGAAATGCCAAGGGATTTTCAGCACCAAAACCACTTTCAAAGATGCAAATCAGAACACAAATCAGGTTAAACAGAGAAAGATTATTTTATTTATTAATAAATAAAGTTATTTTATTTATCTCAGTTTAGTTAATTTTAGTCTAC